TACAGTGAATTGTGATCTGCCAGAGAGAGTGGACTGTGGAACCAGGCCCAGGCGATATTGACACAGATGTCAACAACCTTTTCTTTCAAACTTCCAAAAGATAAGGATATATTCTCTATAACAAAAATAATGCTGGATCGTATTGCACGACTACCGTGACCTCACAGCAAAGAAAAAAATGATAAATAAAAGCGTTTTAATGAATTAGAAAATTTAAAATTCTTTACTAGACCAGAATATGAGTATTGTAGACTGAGATATATTTCTGTCCGATAAATAAAGAAAGTACAATTCAAATAAATTAAATTAAGGTAATTAAATGTCAATTTACAGAGAAAGACGAAATATACTCGTTAGTATGTCAAGGAAAAAGACTGCAAGATATTATGATCTATGCCTTAGGAGTCATTACTCAACTTTATTTTCCTCTAAAATCCCGTTCATCTTTTGGCAATGAACAATGACGTCAAAAGGTTTTGAAGCTTTGTTAAAAGCGCGGCGCCTGGAAGATGAGAATAATGACTGCAGAAAGAGGACCCTGGGAACTATCTATCGCCATATTTTTCCGCGCCGCGGCGATGAAATGACGTGTTTAGCGCCGATGACGTCAAACTGAAAGTGCCTTGTCACGCAATTTATTTATTTGGTACAAAAAAGTGGAGGAACAAACGTTTGACAGCTCAAAACTGCATGATTTCCTGAAAAAAAATCTGTCGGATTTTCCTCAAGGCAGAGGAGAATTAAAGAATTTCAAATTTAGGTAGGAAGCACGAAAAGCCAATTAGAAGTCAAGATCTATTTATCCTTGAATGGCTAGTCGGTTAACTCCGCTGCAAAATTCGAACTGCAGTTGCAGTTTCTACAGTAACAAAGTAAGGTTTATTTATTTATTTATTAACTTCGCCAAGCAAAAACCATCAAAATAAATAGTTAAAAAAATGACAAAAAAAATGGCAGGAACACCGCAACAGGATAGCCAATTACAGTTTTCGACTAAAATGCCACTATATGAACAATTATTTCTGTAACAAGGGCTGTGGTCACATTTAATACCTCAGTTTGATGGGACAGAAAGTCAGGAAATCATGAAATAGTGCACGATTCCACGATTCACAATGCAACATTAAACGCTAATTTTCAGTAAATATCACTTTTCAATCAAAGCAGCATATATTATGCAAATAAGGCAGAAGAATTGTCCAAAGCGCTTGGCCGATTGCTAAAAAAGTATTCGATGCCCGTCGTTCAGCAAAACAGCTTTCTAAACCATCCTCAAGTCTCATTTAAGTTTCAGGTGCCATAAGCGTCATTTAACCTCTCAAACACTCAGTATTTTTAATATTTTAGAACAACAAAATAAATCCGTTTTCAAAAGAGCTATTGATAATCATACGCTAGGTGCGATCATTCCCAAAGAAAAAGAATTAGCATATAATTTTCGTACGAGAAGGTGTCACCTTCCTCAGATAAAAACGGAGAGATTCAAGAAAACTTTTGTAAATAGACTTATTTTTTAAATATAATCTAGTGTAATATTATTCTATCTTATATTATTATTGTCTTTTATCGTGTATCATTTAATACTTTTTCATTGTAACTTAGAATATGCATTTTTGTCCTTTGATTGAATATTGACTATTATTATTATTATTATGATTATTACTTTTGTGAAAAGGGTCTGAAAGGCCCATAGTTTACGCTGGAAAAACAAATATTTAGTCCGGTGGAAGGCTTCTGACTTAGAAAGCGTCCTATTTTTATATAATGTTTAAGGAAACCAAACCTGGTTTACCCTGACATACCTCTTTACTGCTAGAAACAAGAGTGTCCAGCGGAGAGGGGCAAGCCTCGTTGACGCCTGAATTCTTAGAACAGGCTTCACTTTCTGAAGTGTTTTAACTGCATTTTACCACCGAGGATTAATTATTCGGGTAAAGAGTCAAGATTCACATATTTAATTTATTGCCTGTCCTACGGCTGACTGTCGAACATGATCCTTAAAAGAAGTTTAAATAACATCTCCTTCTGAGGCAAGAAACGTTTTACATTTTTATTTTTGATGTGATAAACAGGACTGGAACGTCGAATCTGACTTTACTGCTTCAAAAAATGGTATAAAGATTTCGTCTTGAGGCATGAGGCACCATTTTAGATGTATGCGGGATTTAATTTCACAGGGCACTGTTTCTTGCATCGGTTCAAACCACAGGGAAGAAAGAGTATAAACTTGCTTTTCGTGGACGCTTCCAACTCTTACGCGCAGGTCGACGTGGAGAATAAAATCATGTCCGCTCTTGGAGAGGCCTCTTTTCCGGTACTGAAAATGTACCTCTTTTCTGAGGACAAGACAATCATGGGCCAAGAATTTTATCTCATGGAGTACATCAAGGTAAAAAGATTATTTTGATGCTTTTTTAGTTGAGCTTTATTGTTTATCCCATGCAACATATGGTGTATCTCTCTCGTCTTTTTTTGCTGACTGTGTAACCAGGCAATAAATAGAAAAGTCAGTTTGGGAAGTATTTTTTGGTGGCTGGGTGGGTGATGTGGGGAGAGTATTTCTGAGTAACTCATACCAGGATTCAGAGTTTAATTGAGAATCGCATTTCCTATTTCACAGAATGGACAGTAAATATGCGCTTTTCATTAATTTCTATCTTGAAACGAAATCAGCCACTGAAGTTGATTTGCCAAAAGGTACTCATACAAGGACATGCAATTTCAAACAGTGTTGTTGCGCATCTTGTAAAACTGTCATGTATTCTCAATCTATTCGCTAGTTAATATTGAGTAAAGAGAGGAGCTTAAACAAAAAAACAGAATAAAAAGCAAGAGCCTGTGTGTTTGTTGAACTTCGAATGACTAGTATACTTATGCTACATACGACAATAGAGAAATTTTGAAAGAATTTCTCTGGTAAATGCTTCGACGTAAACACATTAACATGAGAAAAAAAACACTGTAATACTAAAACTGATAATTATTTTCTTTTTTAGCCCTATAATTCTGTAGATATCTTACATTTCTTCTTAAAATTCCTTCTTACTTTTCAATTTTTTTGTCAGGCTTCCCTTGATTCAGCAGTTCTGCTTAAAGGACAATGCTCCTACCGCCATGCCGATATAACGCCATTTCAAGAGCGTCAAAATCTACCTCTACCTCTTTAAAATCATTCAAGTCTTTACTCTGAAAATCACTGTTGTTAAATTCAATCTTGTCTATATGAACTGGCTCGTTATTTTCCCCCTCTTCTGGAAACTTTGTAGGTTTTGGCAAGGGAGCAATTTCGTTTTTATTCGAGTCCTTCATTGGCTGATCTTTGTCAATGATAATCTCATCGTTGTCCTCTTTAAGTGACTCATCGCCTTCTTCTTTTTCAAACACTTCATCCTCAGATTCTTCTATTAAACTGTTAAAGGATGGCGCATTGTAATAATCCCGAGATTCATCGAGGACGTTGAAGTCCAAATATGGGTTGTCCTTCTGCATCATCTCCTCCAGTCTCTCTCGGATTAAAGTAAAAGTTGGTCGGTCGAATGGATTTTCCAACCAGCATTCCCTCATCATGTCGTACCTGTATTAATTCAGTTATTCATTTTAAAATGTTATTCATTTTAAAATTTCCTGCTGCCGAAAATTTCTCGTCCATTGCATTTTATGTATTTGATTCAATGATAATTGTTGTAACCTAAAATCAGATTATGGTAGGAACAAAGTAAAATCGTAAATTGAGCATTGACATAACTATATCTTCCAGCATATCTCAGATAAAGAAATTGGTTTTCGTTCTGATTTCAACTGGTATTAAACCAGTGGAAAGGCAGTTCGTGCCCTCTTGTTTTGAACCCAGACTTATTCTATCTTGGCATTACTGGAATTTCGATTTATGTACGATTTCATTGTTTTTGCGTCAAACAAAAAAAACCTGGTTACTGTACTTACATTTCACTGTTACAGACGTCTGGCTTTTCCATCCGATATCCATTTTTAAGTAAACGAAGCAACTCTCTGTTGTTTACTGTAGGGTATGGTGTTCCGCCTGCCACAGGACGCATCGGAGATTTTCAGTATAACTTGGTGTGAGGCTATTCCTCAATAAGTCGTCATTGTTAAGTCCATTCCACTGTTCTACGCGTAGTAGCATAATGCTTTAGCAACTTGCTCACTTTGCAATTCCATCATCATATGTTAAGTTGTTAAATAGTTTCTATTTCGAGTTTTGCTTCGCAAGGTAATCTTTGTTACGTTTTACAGGTTGTTATGGTGTAAGAGACAGAAAAATGAGCCTTATATAGCGTGGTCAGCGTACTAACATTGCGCTTTTACCACCGAGCACATGGTTTTAATAGTGTTGTGTTGTAATCGTTTTATCAAGGACGAGTTTCGTTTGTTGTTAAAGCACAATAACTTCGAATCCTCTCATTTCTACAAGTCTCGAATGAGATAAATACAAGTTTGCGCAAGTTAGGAAGCAATGCTTAATTTAAGGTTTATTATTTCAAGTAGCCAAGAGTGGACGCTACATATGGTTTGCAAGTATGAAAGGTCGACATCGTATGTTGAGCTAGCAACTAGTAACGTTCTCCGTTATTATTAAACTCGTTAGGTATCGAAGGCTGTACTTGTGTTACTTTGACGCTTTTCGCGGCTTTACATGTCCGGCCCGGATAATTTCTTTCGCAGCCCTTTGGATCCGACTCATCATTGCTTTGGTTTTGCTTCAGTGCTCCATAGCTTCAGAAACTAAGACCAAAACTTGTTCAGCCAATTGCTGAGAAACAAAAACCAATTGCTAATCTTTTCCAAGGGTTTTTTTTTAGTAATGTCCTGAATGTCAATTTGCTGTGAGGTCCTATTGGCTTCTTTCACATTCTCTTTACATTGGACTGGCTTAAATACTACAGACAACTAGCTTTATTGGATCAACCAATATATTAAGAGAATTTTACGAAATCTTCCCCTTACCTAATGTTACCAGCTCCCACAGAAGAACGCCGAAAGCCCACCTAGTTGTAAACATAAAATGAACGATTAGCATTCCGACCATTTTTACGAACATCTTAGAAAACGAAAAGCCTTTCAAATAGAAATCTTGCTCACACATCACTCTGAGTTGTAAAGGTTTGATCAAAAATGGCCTCGACTGACATCCACTTCAAAGGAAGTTTCCGGTTTCTCTTTGCACATTCCTTTATTTTCCATTCCTTTATTTTCCATCTCTTTTTCATCTGTTTTTGATGAAAATGATAGAATTTGAATTTTTCTATCGTCATCTTTTGGTGCATCAGGGCTGTTGACATAAATGCGGTCACTCCTTGTGGCCTGGAACGAAATGAAATAGAGAATTTCATTTTCTCTGAGCTGCTGTATATCGAACTTTGGCAATTCTTAAGTTTTAATTTTGATAAAATGGCGCAATTGTTGGTTGTCCTTTTGGAGTTTTCCATAGGATATTTCAAATCGCATTGGCTTTCTTAAGACTAATTTTCCATTACCACACAATAAAACATGAATACACAATGATCAAAACAGACTGTCTAGAGAAAGAAAAAAAGTTTTTTTTTATACTACTGTAAATAATTTTTTTCATTTAATGAATTTTGTTACTATTCAGTAGCAAGTCTCAAAAACAACAACATTCGAAATGACGGTAAGTAAGTAAGACCTTTATTTAAGGGAATAAAGGCTGATAGTTTCGAAAGAAACTGTTTGGGGTTGCGTCGGTGGAGGTAACGAAATAATTTGGATATATCAACAAAGTTGAAATGGTAAATTAGCCACCGTAACGATTACAAAAGCTGACGTTTCGTGCGTTAGCCCTTCGTTATTTAAGTGTCAATGTGTTTATCCTAAAAAGACTAATAGGAGACACTATAATTAAAATACACTTATATAAATTATATATTTACACGAAAATGATTAAAATTTAAAGTTTAGAAAGCTAAAATATTCCTATTGACTACAAAGATTACAGCAATTGCTGTTATTAATTACAATCTCGTCTAGGTTCAGTTTTCCTATTTTGTTTATGAAAACCGTGACATAAACTTGGCGAATCCCTTTGACTTTCAGTGAGTTTTGACCACAAAAGTGGCCCGAGGTATCTGACAGAGTGCTTGCCATAGCAAATAGTTTCAAAACGTGGTAATACAAAGTCACTATTCCGTAGCGAATGTGTAGAGCCTTTGCGGACAAATATTCAGAAACGCAGTCGGGTACAAGACCATGTTTGACTTTGTACATAAGTACTGTGAGTGATATCCTGAAGCCGTCTATTATATAAAGAGGCTATATTAGCACGCCTTAGGAGTTCTTCATATGTGGCAGAGTGGGATTTATAAATAACCATTGGGGCTCGTTCTTGTACGGTCTCGTAAACACACACCGAAACGAAGTGCATATATTTATTGAAGGCAGGAATCAATACGCATACATTACACCTACCACTGTTGTTCTTTCCCCCAACTGTTTGTCAAATACGTAAGTCTCGCAGTATGTGGAGCGATAGGGACCACGTGATTCGTCACCAAGAAATTCTTTTACCTGATGAGACAACAAAGTAGAACTTCTTAAATGTGTGGAAACGCACCAATCTTTAGGATGGGTTTCGAAATTTCATTCAGACTTGATAATTTAACACTTAAATGAAACAGTCATTTGTAAACTAAGAAAAATAATTTTGAGAATTGCATGAAACAGTTTTTAATTCATAGGCTAAGCAGTAAAAATGTTCATTGTTTCGAAATTTGCCAGTTTTGAAATGAGACCAACCAAAACTTGTAATGGATTACTGAGGATCAGCTCAATAGAGTCCTCCCTCGCCTAATCAACTCCGCACGTATTCGTAACGAAATCTATTTCAAGTTAGTTTGGGACTCGAGATATCTGACCTCACGTCTTTCAGTGGAGGAATGACACCGCAAGGGATGTCCACATGACCCATGCCAGTGACCTCGTCACATGATTCGTTTACAGTGTTCCCACACTCCATCAACTGGGAATTTTCAATTAAAAAAGCATATGAAAGTCGTTTAGTTTGCTTGCTTGGTGCTTTCTAGCATAAGGTGAATACCTTTCCCCGACGTTTTCGTAAGTAATGCAAAAGGTCTCCATAAGGAATATATTCAACGAGCAAAAACATTGGTTCCTCTACAGTGCAACAGCCTAACATATTGACAATATTTTTGTGCGTTCCCACGGCTTTCATTAGCTGTATCTCCTCCAGAAATTCTCTACGCTGATCGCTATCTGCCATTCCTGTAAAGAAAAGTGATAATTGTAAATGACCTACGCCTTTATGGTTATAATAGCCATTGCAAACAAAATATCTGTATCGACCTAATAGAATTAAAATCCCACCTGGCAGGAGGCACGCTGGTCGGCTATTCACCAAGTGCAGCAACTAGACGCTATACCGTGAACAAATCCAAAGAGAAACAAAGTGGGGAGGTCCAACTAAATAACCCCAGTTCAGGGGTTGTTTATTCATTAATCAGAACCCCTCACCCTCCTCTTTTGTGAGTCTTAAAAACTTTATCTGAGTTGCTTTAGCTTCGTACACTCTAAATATTGCAATGTTTCGAGTATACACTGCGCGCAATTTGTTCGTTTGTCAAGTAACCAACTCTTACGGGATTCGGCTAAAAGCAAACAGCAATGTACCAACCCAAGGACCTTTTTTTTCTTTTAAGTATAAGTTACTCTGATTTCCATATCTCCGAGTGATGTAGTTCGTTAATTTGAAAAGCATGTGATATAATTTTTCTTGATTTTTTGAAAGACACATTTAGTTATGAGAACATTACATAAATTCAACTCACCATGTAGCATTTTAACTGCCACAAGAAGTCCTTCCGTCTGCTTGAGCGTGTTTCTACGCGTGAGGCTTTTTGGAGGCATCATTGAGAGTTTCCGTGATGGCGACGTAGACTCCTTCAGGACCCCCTTGTACACCTTTCCAAAGGCCCCTTCTCCAAGCTCCTCCCCCAGGGTCACTGAGTCTCCATCTACTTCCCAATGATCAACCATTAGAGCAATTTTGCTGCCAAAGCAAAAAAATTAATGAGTGAAAGATGAATGGAAAGTCGATTAAACGTTCTTATTGAATAGTTATCCAAATTTATGAATTAGCAGGTAAAGATAGCTGTTCGTATCAAGTGATAATCTATTCTGTAACGTTTGTATTCGTTTTAAGGACAACTTACCCTATGACACGCCCTTTAGCTCTTATCTTTCTTTGTCTTTCGAGATAACACCAACTAAGTAGCGCTACGGCTATCAATATAGATAATATCACTCCTATAACAAGCCCAGCTAGCTCAGCTGGGCTCATTGGATCAGACAGATGATTTTTACCTGAAAATAGTGATAATCATTATCATCGTTATCATCATTAGCAGCACAATCATCTCCTATGTCGGATGTATTCTTAATAATACCATAGACTTCATCCGGGAAAAAAATACATAAAAGAAAATATTTAGCATAAGAAAGAGTTCGAAATGTTTTTGTAGTAGGAGATTAAAGCACCGCATGAATTTAGTAATTTGTGTCTTACGAAGCTGTATAAAATTTTCTTTGAGTGCTTTTCGATTGAATGTCGCAAACGATGATGGAAGAGCAGAACAAAAAATCACGTGGAATCAATGGGAACTCATAGGGAAAACAACAAACTGCCTTTAGCTCAGAAAAACTAAGGGGAAAAGAGATTGGTGCTGGATTCCCTGCTATTCTTGTTTCAAAGATTCCAATCAAAAATAAAAGTATAACAGTTACCGGTTTGTGATTTCCAGGCAAGCGAGATCTTGGCATCTGCACCAGTAACCGCAGACACAACGAAGACCGGAGTAACCTGGCAAGACACAGATAAGTTAGTCAATTCCATATTAAGAGCTTACTTGTGTTTACAAAAAGTTCAGCTAGCGCGCTTGCGAGCCAGAGCTCCGCAACCAATACACAGCCCAAACAGTTGCGCAGCATGACTCTTCTTAGACTCCCACTACCCTTCTACTGAATAGCGGAAAGGCATATATCAATTTTCCTCTTACATATGAAACTTGCATCGTCCAATTCTAGTTTCACAATTTCTATGTTCATCTAATGCTTATTATAGATATCTATCATATAAAAGAACTAAATCACTTTTATATTGTACGTGAGGAGACAGTTAGAGATTCGCTTGCACAAACGTGTTACGGTAAAATACCTGAAATTCGACTCCATTAACTCTACTGATCCCATCAATTGTAACATTGGTACCAGTCTGCGAAAGAGAAAGCACAAAGACGCCGAGTCATCAAAAGTGGATTTTTCGAAAATGAGCATGCACAATTAAATTAACCAAAACTTTGACAGCAAGCAAACGGCTAATTATAAGTAATAGTTGGTTTTGTACAGAGCCCAAAGCAAGTTCAAGGGACACATTTGCCTCGATGGGTGTAAACCATCACCAAGTCCACCTGCATCAATCTATTTCGAAATTGGCACAAAATGTCACAGGAGATCAAATTAGCCGGGATAGATAGGTTATAATCGCCTCTCTTTTCGTTGCCGTTCGCCAAGAAATCCTTTCGTCGAGCCCTACTGAGCGCGAACAGTGTCTTAGTTGAGATGTAGGCCTTCTTAATAAAAACTTCTTTCTCGAAAGACGTGGCCTTTCCAGCCAGTGCTCATCTCGATTTCTGCTGCATGAAACGACTCAGTACGTCAACTTTCCCCGGATGGGATGCTCGGCCATCACTAGGTTGCCCCGGGCATTCCGCCAGGCTTCCTTTACATTTCACTGGTATTCATGCATACTCTTGGGTTGAGAGAGGCACTTTGAGAATGAGCCACAGTGGTCTCTAGACGCGGAGTTTAACGTGTTGATTGCAATACTTCATGTTTAGTTTTGCCCTACCTACGCGGTACTGGGTTTAGAATGTCTTTTATGGTATGGACCATGTGCTCTAGTTTGTTGTTGACGTTTGGTTTCGTTTTTTTGTCACGTTTTCATCTGGTTTGCAAATTTTCAAACCTGAGGTTACGATTAAAACCAAACTAAACCAGATCGTCCAGTCTGATCATTATTTCGAAACTGATTCACGGTACGGATGGAGACAAACTAAATGGAGTTAAATGGATGAAGTTGAACATTTACTAACCGTTAAACCGCCGTGAATTTCTTTTTGAGTCGTGCACAAATTCAGAGGTAGAAATTTATTAGAAATGGCAAGTTCACATCTTTCCAGCACGGTTGCCCTTACAGTGTGTAGACCTCACTGCATATTTTGTGGGGAATTGCAAGTTTTGTTTTCAACCTTTTTTTTCAACAGTAAACATCATCTCCCTTACCGTTGTGGTCTCGGTGTTCAAAAGCGTTTCCCTCCTTTTCCGTAACGGGAGATTTTTCGCCGTTAATTTGTATATGTAGTGTTTTACATCACTATGTGTGAAAAGTGGCTTCTCCCAGCTCACTGTCGTGCGGAAAGTGTTTTTGGCAGTCGGGAAAATCTCATCATACTTCAAGCCATTAACCTGAACAAGCTCCTCCCTGGGGCCTGTTTTAAGCAAGATATAAATCGCGAAAGTTAAGTTCAATAGCCATTTGCATCAGTTAAAAATGTGGGATAGAAGTCTCATTTTACACAGAGGCGATCAAAATATTCATCGCATTGATAACTTTGAAAATCCTTATGCGAAGTCTTCCAGGGAGATTAGTTGAAACTAAATGATGAACGAATAACTGACTGATGAAATGCAAAAGAGAGGTCACTTACGAGGCGCACTCCCTGTTTTTTGTACCATTTCTCCAGTGATGTGTATGTTGCTGTAAATAGGTGTGACCTTAAAAAAATTTAAAAACAAACGTTTAACGACTCAGTTTTATTAATTTCAAGAAATGCCTTCGAGAGATACCCTTGAAGTCTGAGAAGGTGCATGCTCAATGAAAAGAGGTTTATCTCCGATGAAACAAATGTGTTGGTTGTTGTCGCGTTCCCGATGCCGCAGACACGTGGTGTTGTGCACCGGAGTTCGCCAGTATAACCATATTGTTGAACTTTAGACAAGTAGCAGAATCAAACTCTTTATTCACTTAAGCTGGCAGTCTTTGTACAGCACAGGCGGTAAAAACTATAGAACGAATACATGAAGGTTCGATATGGGGAAAACCGAAAGACTACGAAGCTAGAAATGATAAGAATGATGAGGAATATTACAAGCGTAACTTACATCGGATCTTGACTCCAGGGTAGAGAACTCCTAAACTCCGTTCGGCTCCGAAATGGTTTCACTACAATGACTCTTCGCAACTGAACTACTAGCTAATAGAAGGCGAATTTAGTTCTTACACTTTGACGTAGGGGAAATAGAAATGAACAGTGCTTTGTGTAGCTAGCTTCGAGCGGATATTCGCTAGTCACGGAATAGAAATCAAACAAAGTGCGCTAACAAATTTAATAGAAAGTCATTGAAAGTTTCTTAGTGTCTTTGTGCTAAAAACGGAAGAGTTACATAAGTAAAAAAGATTAGAGTTCGTATACGTAAACGTGACAGTTGTATTAAAATTTTTTCCCACTAAATAGAGTCTCTCGCTGTACACATTTATGAAGTTGGAAGAAGAAAAACTTCTTGGTGAATTTTAATTCTTGTCAAACGTCGATCCAATTTGCACTGTTGGAAAAAAAAGGTTCAAACTGCAACCAATGCCTATTGCAATATACCTTCACAATGACGCTTTCACGCGGGAACATTCCAAATACTTGCAGGAATGTCGAATTCTATGAAAGGAGACAATGAAAAAGGTTATTAAATGAACGCACATGGCAAAATATGACAAATAATTATGGTGTTGCCATCGCAATGACAACGGCTATTGCTAAAATTCTTGCTCTTATCATAACTTTCTTCCTTATATTTGTAACCGACCAGTGTGTAACTGTCTGCCACTTTGGTGAAGGTAATAAAAATTGATCCGTTTAAACCCTCAATTGTCCCGTGCAAAGGACGGACAGGCTACGTTACACACGCTCATTTCATCCAAACTTACATCTCCAATTTTGGAACATCCTAATCGGTGACTGTCCCTCTGTAACGGTGAACAAGAAAGCTCTTTCCTTAAATAACCTCCGTGCAATTCAAAGGACACTGTATAAGAGCGCACAGTGCTATACTGAAATGGCGGAGGTTCCCAGGTGAAATTGACGCTGAAAGTGTTGCTTTCTTCATCTTCTAGAAACAAACCTCCTCGTAAATTTTGGACCTGCACTTCCTGGTTGTCAGGCTCTTTGGGAACAAAAAAAAAACATAGGAGTAAAAGGTATTTGGCAATTGAGGACGCACACAGATTGAAATGCCATATGCTCGAAAAATGCTTTCAAAACAGAATTTTGAATTTTGAAACTCCTATTACTGCCTTTCGTCTTTTCAAACATGACATCCTCGGTTTTATATGTATGTATTTACATATATGTTGATTAGAAAAATTACGACGACTACGTTTTTATCCCTACAAGCCTGTTTCGTGATTGCTCACTCATCAGGGGATTTTTATTGACAAGAATATCCGTTACCATTGTTTATATACTTTACAAATTTGCAATGAGAGGCGTGGCGGTGAATTTAAGTGCTTTTGTTCAGTTTTTGCGCAGAAATGCTTTGTTTCTGTGGCGGCATGAGCACACAAGTTCATTACGTTTATCGAGTGATGATAAGTCTGGTCGGCAGATGGTGAGTAGTTTTTCTTTTAGGCAGAGGTTGCATCTTTTACTCGCACTCTTGTAAGGTGATCTAGATGAAAGGATGTGCCATGAAATAAAGTGGTCGCCGTTACTTTCTTTGAGAGTCCAGATGTGTTTGCTGAGTTCGGTAGAGTTTCTATGTTTTATGTGTCGGAACAGTGCGGTGTGGTTTCTGTATCTCGTTTTAAAGTCGTTTTCTGTGTACAGTATAAACAGTCTACAGTATGAACAACATCACCTTCGGCTCAACCAATGTTTAAGCCGAGCTCTGTGATATATATGAAACGAAGAGGCAGAAAAAAATTCTTAACTTGATTTGCTAATTTCTTACTTTGAGGAATATTAATGATTGTTGAAGTAAGTCCTGTGAGAACAGTAGCATCAAATATCGGCGTCACCTTTAAAGACAGTAAGAATTTAAAAAAAGGTGAATACTATTCAAGGTTTTGATGAACGTTCCTAATAATGCTCTACTTGGATAGGACAAGCAGTTGTGGTCTCATAGGATCTAACGAACAAGGATTAAGCCCCGTTTCATGAAATTAAGGAACCAGAAATCTTAATTCAAAGAAAAGAAAATCTCAAAGTATAGAATACTGGTTCCTTACCTCTACTTCTAGATTGTCACCAGGGATTAAGCCATGGATGATAAAAGACGTCCTCTCCTGATAAGGTGGTAAAATGACAAATTATTTTTCATACTCATATATGCGCTGCACGAATTTTGGGATATAAATGGCTTAATGATTTACTAAGTGATCCAAAAAGCTGGTCAATGTTTCTTTACTCTTCCCCTAGTTTTTTGCCGGAATACTGGATCTCTCATTGTTCTGATTAACGGCATACTTTAACATTAAACACAATTTTCCAGACTTATCACGTAAAAATGGCTCAAATTTAACGATGTTTGGCAACTGCAAATTAGTGATTGTGTCATTCCCTTTGACAAGCTCTGTATATCAGGAGCCTCTTGTCGAGATAATCCGAACCTTAAATTTGTCATCTAAAGTTCTTGGAAATCTCAGTTTACGGTTTCTAAGTTACATTATAATTTCAGATAACAAAACCAAATAATTCTATAATATTCCACCGACGCAGCTAGAACTACAGTTTCTTTGTCCCTCTCTTTCATTTTCTAGGTTAGTTTGCCTTACGTTTATAGGTCTTACCCCATCAATCTGGAGGTCGAACGTCTTTCCTCTGCCCGGATTCCCTCTTCGTCTGTATATTATGTCGTATTTTGTTACGTTACTTTCATCGAAAAGCGGTTTTAGCCATTCAATCACCACAGTACTTAAGTTAAACGAGTTGAAGGTCAAGTTACGAACGATTACTGTGTTTTCATCGGGCGCTAAAATAAAATGAAAAAAAAACTGTTAGCTTCGATTGTAATGAACGTCATCTGGGATCTGTGATATTCATCGAGAAGGGTATAGCCTGCAGAGCAGTTATAATTAGGGTGAGCGAGTGATCAGTTTTTCTTAGCGAAAAATGGCCGCCATCTTGGATTTTTATGGCAGCGGACGGCTGGGGAGAGAAAGTAGTTTGCACCAAGAGGGTGAGTCCACTCTGACTCGAAATAAAATATGGCGTTTGGATAAACGATCACGAGCCTACAACGTCAACTCACCCTTATTAGACGCCTGCACTGTAGGCTAAAAAAGGTAGGGTGAGAATTTGTCCAGTATTACACCCGGAAGTGGTGTTTTCCGAGCGTACAGTCAGTACTTTGCTAAGAGTTTTATTTCTTCTTAAAGCTCCTGTTAATTCTGACTGACTGGCTGACTAACTTAACAAGTAAATGAAACAAACAGTACATTATTATACTTACGTGGGGCAGTTTCTCGGAGTTTTACCTTTTCCCCCTCGATGTTGGGATTGGAAAACAGAGCTCTAACCTTCGAAATAAAAAACACACAAAGAGCATGTGAAATATGCTGAATTTCTGTGACAATTCCGGATGATGTGTCAGACATTACTCACCATAAAACCTCCCCAAAAAGTTCCGAGAAAACGACAGCTTCCCCGTATATCCGACCAAAATCACTTATTTTTTGTCGAACGAAGACTGTCCGAGTGTCCTGGCCCTTGGGTTTGGTGTAACTATCTGATTTTATCTTGCGCTTATTCCAACAATTTTAATACTCATAGTTACGTTGTTTCCTTCAGTTTGCAGGTAGATTTTAATACATAAAAGCACTCAATACTTCAGCTCAAGAGCACTTCCTAAAGTTGAAATCAAACTGCATTAGCTTGAAATCATGGATTGATGACACCACCATTCGAGCAAATGCCTCCAGAAAACTTTCTCTTGAAACCTATGTTATAAGCTCAAGCATTTTCCATTTTATACTGAAGAAAAAAACGTGAATTCTAAACAACAGCAACATTTTTCGGTTTTATGCAAAAATCACAAATATTTGCTCAAATCTAACTTACCTTTACCCTTAAAGATTCTCCTGGTCTTATGCCGGATAGAAGTATCTTCGGCTTATCCTGCATGCAAATAAGTAGAAATGCTGCGTTAGAAAGGTTCCTTTCATGAAAGAAACTAATTGAAACAAACCTGTATTCCATCCGACAGAAACTAGAGTAATACATGTTAATGGCTGGTTCAAAAATTCATGATAGAATTATCCATCTTCTGTTTTTACAACAAAGCCACAATTTGTCACACTGACAAGTGAAGCATGTCAAAGACCGTCAGTTCAACCATACTAAAACTAATTGTTTTCTTTCTTTCGTTGACAATAAAAACAGTGAATGACGTAAAGTAAATTTGCCTCAAAATCGTGAAATTTTGACTTTTATAAATTTCTGAAACAGCACACACGTTCGAAGACGGCGCATAACGCATTTAACGACTCGAAATCTCGCATTTTGTTGAAAAGCTTTGGTAACACGGGCAGTTAGAATTAACATGAGTACTTTTGTGAATTGCTTTAATTCTCTAATTAGGTCTCTCGATACAAACTTTACTGCAAGCTCAACGCTAATTATTCTCCACACAAACTTTGCATTCCTCATTTAAACGCTTTCCGGTTAGCTCATTGGATAGAGCGCTGGACTGCTGTGCGGGAGGTCGAGGGTTCAAGCCCCGGCCGGACCAACACTCAAGGTCTTAAAATAATTGAGAAGAATATGCTACCTCTCTATAACATCAAGAAATGGTTAGATATTCTAGTCTTCTCGGATAGGGACGAATAAATGGAGGTCCCGTCTCCTACAGGGTTAGGGTTAGGGTACGTTAATTTCCCACGCACGAGGTTACTGTATGATGGATGTCCTCCCCTGGGGTGGGATGGGTGGGATTTATTGGGTGGACTACTCGCATGTTCCTCATGTGTTCCGTTCTAGTTCTACCCTACTGCGATAATGCAGTGAAAATGGTTAGAAAATCCTCGCTTATTCGGCTTGAACACACGTGTACAAAACTATTTTCGGCCTGCAATCAATGCTAAGTAAATATTAACAGCGTCACACCCTTATTACGTAATCATGTTCTCGACAGTACTGTAAACCCTATCAAGATAAGTAGTAGTCATCATACCCTAGTTATCCGCACGGTAGGTGCGTCCAACTGATATCCCGAGAATTCGTACGCGATGTTGTAGGCGACTAATGTGAAATTAAACACTGGTCCTGTCCACGTGACATTTACAGAGTATCTGCTGGTACCCAGCTCGCGCACAAACTCTCCGAGCTTTAGGTTTTTGATCGCGGTGTCGCGATCACTCGGAACTACAAGAATTTAAAAACACTATTATTGGGTGGAATAATTCTAAAGTTATCATTACTAATCGCCGCTACCACCAGTGCCTTTGTTTGGAAGCTTAACATATCAACTCCGCCAATCGTGATAAATCGTGATGATGGCGGGTTATTACCTGACGCCTATTTACACCTCGTTAGAAAAAAACGGCAGCTGATTCGTGAGCACATAAAAGGGCCTGTTGTTCAGTGCAACGATCAGATCACCCCTAATAAAGCCAATAGACAGGAGTGTCGTAACGCTGGGTCGATGACATGTAATTTCGGTTACATTCATTAAATCCTTAAACCAGAGTAGCATCAAACCGTGTCTGATTGTCCACCTGGTTGCTGTGTGAAATTAAATATAACTATTATGTATTTTGTTTTCACGGATTGTTACTTAAAGAGGACCTAACTGCATCATGATATGAGCTATTTTCGAAATCCTGCAAAATCCCGGTAAACTTGTAGTCGACCACAGCACATCCATTCAGTAAAGCAAATTTGAAAATCAGATCCGTAGGGAAGGGTAATCACAAATCCAAAGGGAAAGCCTGATAGTCATGTCCTTGCACAATCAGTCTTTATTCGAGTGCCACGCTCCTAACAAAAGTTTCATATAAATTTTGACTAATTTCCTATCACCAATGACCTATCCACTTATCTAGACTTTTCCTTTTTATCCTCACCAGGCGCTGTGATGATTTGAAACACTTGCACTCCTTTGATCCAGTCGTGTAAGTAATGCGGCGTTACCTAAAGAGAAGTTTAGATAGGATAACTGCTGTATGGATCGTTTAACCCTGAAATTGGAATTGTCTTTGAGAGGCATGTCAAATTTTTAACCCCCTCCCATCAAAAATACATGGTTTCATCCCCGATAAATAGTCAAATTCACTTACCCAATATCTGACCAGTGTACCATGCAGTATTCCAGAAATGTTAAAGTATGTATGATTACTCTGAGAAACAAACATGCACAGTATAAATATTAGGATAATTAACAATTAATCCACGAGTGTGCTATGGATATGAGATGATAGATAGCCAACGAGGCGCGTAGCGCCGAGTTGGCTATAATCATCTCATATCCAACAAGCGCGAGTGGAATAGTTGTTTTACTTAAAACGTTAAATTAAATTATTAAATTTTATTACATTTTTTAGCTCCCTTTGAGTTTTCAGCTGACGCGTACGCTTACCATATTTGCAGATCATGGTATATTGGCTCATATACCATAATCAGGGCTAAGCCAATAAAAAGTCTTGAATTTCATTATCCAATGATCTAGTTTTTAATAATGGCAAATATATTAACAAATTAAAGTTAAAGATTATATTCTTCTCACTTATAGAATCACGAGAATAGAGGTTAAGCTCAGGACAACTCTAACCCCATGGTTTTCAATCATTTGGCCAATCATTTTTTATTCAAAAAAGTTGGAGTTTTTCAGGTTATTAAACACAATAATGATAAAAACAATAACAACAATAATCATAACAACAAGAGATTATAAACTGTTTACAATCTCTTGATAATAATCAATACTTGCATACAAAAACATTTTATGTTGTGGTCTATCTTATGACAGTGTAAGAGTGTGTTTGCAAGGACTTCAACACCAATGTTATCAATCTTTTGATGGTATTCAATGATCTTTCGTATAAATGATTCCTTCTTACCTTTCTTTATAACCTAGTTTTCCATATTAACAGTCAGTATTATGGTACCAATATTAGTAAATATTAGGCCAATATTAGGCCAATATTAGGCCAATATTAGGCCAATATTAGTCTTCATGTTCTCAATCTACAGTTTCTTACCCTCAGTTCTTCGGTGCCATCTTTGCTGTCGACCTTGTAACTAAATTTGTAAACAAGCGAACTGTAGTTAAAAATTGGCTTCTCCCATGAAATAAGAACACTGAAATTGCTACCGTCTGAAGACTTGATGAACTGACCAGCGGTCAAATGGGTTACTTTTACTTTGTTTGGATCAACACCTAATAAATTGGCAAAGAGTAAAGATAAGATATTGTTATTGCCATTTATTTCACAATGTTAGGTCGAGCCATGCTTCGTCGATAGGAAACCACTGCTATCGATCAATAAGAAATTTAGAAATTAACTGGACAGTATCCATAACTATTGCATTTTTACAATTAAAAGTATATCACTTTACGGAACATGGAATCCATTTGATTAAAAAAAAAAGGAAAAATAAAACAATTTTTTTTTTTAACCTTAATATATAACTATTGCATTTTTAAAGGGATTCCATAGTCTACAGACTACAGACTATGGAATCCGTTTAAGTTTAAAAAAATACATATTTTTTTAACTGGCAATGTTTTTAAGTTATAAGTCATTTTAAATAATGATCGACGGGTTTTTATTTGACAATGTCAAATACTTCCCACAGCGTTGGCACTTCTTAACGAAAAAATCCACTCTCAACTCATTTTAATAAAAGTAGTATTGAAAACAATGTCACCACATTCGGACTTCAGTAAACACTACTTAGTTGTTACTTTTTTCTTATTAAGGCTGGTATGTCAAAAACTTGAAATTAATTTGAAATGCCCATAAGATATGGACTGACTCTATAGATGCCATTCTCATCAAGTCTAACTCAAGTTGTTGAATCTACGGTCCATGAAAATATTTTTATATACTTTCTTCATAATAATGTTTCTTGCGATAACTTCTAAATTTCTTTTATAAATCAGTAGCTCGATTTTATCGGAATCCAATAACTGAAAGGTTAAACATGGAATTGATTTGGAAGAAGAGGTCAGCTAATTGTCAATTTGATCGACACCTGTCTGTCACTAAAAAGCGGTATTCCTTTTTAGTACATGCTCTCTGAAAATCGCACGAAAAAGAAGTGGCCTTTATTGAAGGTTGAGCGCAGGTAAGATTGAAGGAAGGGGTCAATTTATCTCTGACTCTTCTTTAAAATATCTTGGCCTCGTGATTTTTAAAAGATATTGCAAAAAAAATTAACAAAAGTGACCTTCTTTGCGGAATGCGTCGCTCGCTTAAGTCTTCATAAGATGTAACGGTACGTAATATCAATCGGTTCGTAAAAACTGTCTTTGAAGCGACCGTTTTAGTGATTATGCTATATTAAAGAGGAGAAATATCAAGAGATTGGAACCACGCAAAGAGTAGAGATTATAAAAAAAGAACATTCAAATTAAATCGAAATTTGTGACTTTGAAGCGGCACACGAAGCCAAATGAATTCAACTCGGAAAAAGTTATTTGTGATAGTCGATTTATCCTCTGGCTAGCTCGCGATGATATGAAACATAATTAATCCCTAGCAAAACTTCTAACTGATCGGTTGTTTTTCTTATTTAAACAGAAACTAAGATCGTCACAGGTAATTAGGTGATAAGTGGGTTTTTAACAAAGATGCGATCGTTTACTGACTTATGTGATCATTTTTGCACAATTTTCTTTATTTGATTTAACTCTTTCAATCAATTTCAACATGTTTTAAATCTGTCTAATCAAGCGACCACATCAATATTTAGCATCATTAGAATGCTTCATTCATTGGTCGACTGTTCTGGAGAAGTTACAATCTCGTTCTCTTCGCAACATTTTCCCGGGCTGTAGCAGGCTGCAAAGTAAAAAATAATTATCCACTATCTGAGAGTGGATTTTCGCAGCAAAAATAGGTTTCTGCAGAAGAAATTTCTCGAGAGATAAAATGCTGATATATATTGTCCCCCTTGGGTCAAATGAAAACCTTCGCTTGCCAATTGCAAGGGTAAATTAAGTTATCCGCTCCGTTCTACTTCCGATCTAAAAATCAAACAAGATGTTAAAAAAATGCAGATGACGGATATTTGGCAAAATTTCCAAAGACCTGGTCAGTGATTATCAAAGATTCAAAATTAAGTTAAACTACATCAAACTGCAGTGACGTTGTCATAAGAAAACGAAAAAAAAAAAAAAAAAAAAGGAAAAATAAAACAAATAGTAATTCATTAGCACAGAAAGCTATCCCTTGGAAGCATGCCCGGCACCTGAACAATTTTCTCTGAATTAATGTTCCATCGAAGACGTCTCGAAAATATCAGGTTTTCTTTAGAGATTTTAAGTGATTCCAAAAATTAAAAAAAAAATTTTTATAAACTACAGCCGTGTACTGATGCTATATGCTAGTTGGGTGTATGTCGTTATTGCATGAGAAGTAGATTTTCACAATACTGCTTTTACTTTATTATTTCTAACTTAAATTATTTCATTTTTCATCACTAACCCGGAGTTGTAAATAATGCTTCGCTAAATTCTGACCCAGGCTTTCTGTCTTGAAAAAAGGAGTAGACCTGAGGAAAATGGTAATGGAAATTAATCAATTAGTTTTATCTTGAAATACAAACCGTTGTAGAAGTAACTTCAATCAAATAATTGGGGATGACCAGAAAAAGCCTAAAACCATTTGTTTGTACAACACGTTTGATGCGATCAGACTGCTTATTACTTAAGTATATACCATGTTTAAAGTTTGTAAGGAAAATTTTAGTAAAATCGACAAGTACTAAGCCAAAGTCAAACTCTACGATTCTGGCTTAAAGCCTTAACGCGCAAAAATAGAGGAATACACACAGTTTATGGTCTTTATGACGATTGAAGGCAAAAGATATTCACTGGCTTTGCTTCGAAAATTCGTTGTGGCAGGGTAAGTCTTCCTGACATTCCTTACCTACTGATAATACTTTCGCAGCAACAAAAACTTTTCCCAGCAGAATTTCCACTCACCTTAATTTTGTAGGTCATCCCTGGCAAAAGATCACTTATTGACGCACTGTTTGATTTCTACATTTAAAAAAATTATTTAAATGTTTCATTTACTTATGTTGAAGAACTCAGTCATTTAAATTAGTTAGTTTATGGATTCCTGCGCCTTTTATAGTCGATTTGGTTGTTACTGGAGTAATTTGCGATTAAGTGTTTTGAAAAATTAAATCCAAAGTATTCACAAAAACCAATCGAAGGAAAGGAGAAAATGAGAACCAAAGTAAAAAAAAAAGTCTTAAGGGCGGGAAAAAAGGCTGGGAAAAAAGGCAGGGAAAAAAGGCGGGAAAAAAGGGGGAAAAAAAAGCGGGAAAAAAGGCGGGAAAACGCTGGTGACCAAGTCGTGGTTGGTTTCAGTTTAATAGAGATTAGCTCGAGTTTTCTGGAACAATCACAAAGCGAAGTAAAGCAAAACAAATTTTCCAGATTACTTTCGACATACAATTCAGAATTTTCAAATAATCAACAAATGAAAAACTTACAACTGAGTCCAGAACCTTATACATGAAAACCGAATGTTGACTTTGCACGGACCATGTAACCCTGTAATCAGTTACGTTCTTATATGGGTAAACCGGAGGGTCCCAGGTAAACAACGCAAAAAATCTGTAGTCCTGTGCAGGTGTCATAGGTTCTGCAAGACGAATGTTGGTGGCCATCCTATCCCCCATTGGTGCCTCTGGAGGGTCAACTGTGGAGGGTTTATGGAAAACAAAAACCTAAGTAATAAGATAGCATAGATAAACATCTCTTCTATCTGCATCTTTCAAATAACCTTTTTGGTATAATGCGTGATGATACGAGGAACACTTAAATTGATCTCCACAAATTTGCAGAGCAGATTTTTCACAGCCAATATTTTCGGTCGATCACAATCAGTGTATTTTCATGACGATAGGCGAGGAGAATACAACACCAACTTTCTATCACTGCCTATAGAAATCAAGGAAAATGTTTACTACTCTTCATTGATTAACAAACAGTTCGAAAAGCAGCGATTTTGAAAGAATAACTTGGTAACCTGAGGTCCCAAAAGAAACCAAACGATTCCCATCGACTGCTGCACTGTAGATCGCGCTGGGAAAAATCAGAGTAAGACTTACTTATGCCATAAAAAATGAACGGCTCGTTTGCGAGCGGGTTCAAAATGGTGGCATTGGTACATTTCAAGACAGTTTTGAAAAAATTATGAGTCATTAATTTGACGAGAAAACTCACATTTGTAGCAGTAGTCTTTAGGAAAACTTGTGATGTTTTGACAACCTGTAAATGACGTCAGATATTTATTACAATTCCATTTAACTTATTTCTGGTTATATTTCAGATGATATATGCAATTAATTTACCTGGATAAGTGTATTTTAAAGTTGTTGGAACGCTCACACTGCAGCCAATGATGGTATAGACCTTCAAAAAAGGACAATGATCAAAGTTGAAGATTAAATATGAAAACTTTTGAACTGAAAACAACCGTAGCTTTGTAATGAAATTATGTCTATCTTCCTGTCAAAAAGATGATAAGGACTAACGAAGATGGCTTCAACAGTTGAGAAGGTATGTGTTGGGGTCAATACTTCATTTCATCTTTGTGTAAAGATCATTACTTAATCTGTGCTTTGCAATAACTCTACGACACATAGCTCTGTGAATCAGTACAATAAACCTTGTTTTTTCGAAATCTTACGAGACACTTTCAGAGATGGCTGTCAGTGTCTGAAAACAAGTGTGGATTATCTAAACTTTCTTAAAGTCCTTTCAAAACATACCTTAGCAACACCCATTTACTGTTTTCACTGACTGACTAAAATCACGTACACGGTGAGTATGAAATATCGGGTGATAAAATTGAATTTATAGCGCGATTAATTCTTAATCATCGTGCGATAAATTCTTAATTATCGTGCGATAAATTCTTAATTGTCGCGCGATAAAGTCTAAATTGCCGCGCGATAAAATAAAATGGGCCACTGTAGTAAAAGAACAACATTAAATCAATCTGTGACATGCTTGACAAAAAGAATACTTAAAGAGAAATTGCACATCATCGCATTTCTATTTTTCTAATCTGAACGAGACTTGTCGCACTCGGGAAATGTGATTCGTGGAATTCCACAAATTGAACGTCTTTGTCTCGAGTAACGCACTCTGTAAGTCTCAGTGACGTTACAGAGTGCATTCCTTCTTACCTCCAGAATGTGGGTACATTTCCTTATTTCTTCATACAAGGACATATTATATCGCGTCTGAGGATGTGAAAAATGGATATCAAAGGGCTCAATTTTAAGTTTAATACGTCTCTCAAAGATTAAGACCAATATCATAGGTCTTATAATTACAATCATCATTATTACTATAATATTTGCATATTAATTTTCATCATTATTACAAAAAATATTAGGCGAGAAATTTCGGGTTTAAATTTGGAAAAAAATTCTGTTAAAATTGGTAAGGTATTTGTATGTTCTTTATCCAAACACATTCAACAGTCTGTTGATATTTTTAACGTCAATTCGACCCCAAAATTATTAGTTCTACTTTTACATCATCTCAGTTTGGAAATTAGCACAATAGAAGGTAGTAAATTCTGTTTCCATAGTATGAAGCGACTAGGAGTATTATTCTCCCCCCCCCCCCCC